ACCAAGATGGAAAACTAGACAGAAGTGAAATGATAAAGTGGATAACCCCTGGTGAGAATAAACTATTTTTCTCTTTATACGAAGTGATAACATTTAAAACGATGGCTTCTTTTTTAAGGACATACCTTTTAAAAAGAGTGTTGATTAAACGCAACTCCCAGGTTAATAATGCCGCTTATTCACTCATTCTACATTTTTGCTTATCATTTATCCCTTTTGATATCTCTGGTGCACTGAATCTTTCCTGCTGGCAGCTTGAACGCTTGGTTACTACAAATGGCAATTGCAAATGCAGAGACAGACGCACCATATTAAGACAAGTTCCTCTCATTGTTGAGGTTACTTTCATTCTTGCTTTGTGACGATGAGATTCCGAAGTCGACCTCGCAAGAAAAAGGAAGCTTCTTCTTGGCCAGCTGTCGTGGCGCATGATTGGAATCTTTTCGTTGACTGTCGTCGAGACAATACCATGCATTTTCAGGAAAATGTACTAAACCTTCGCATATTATATAACAACAGGGTTACATGACATGAGGTAATTATATGCGTCGACATAAAATATCCCAGTAAAGCCAATCGATAGCTAGTCAAGAGTAATCCGCCGTCGTCTTCTGGTGGAATCGACCCTCGAATCTCTTTACCAAACACTTTCACTAGAAATGGAAATAATCTCAGCAATTATGAGTTAATTAAATGACTCCATATCTAAAAAATAATGCATAGATTTGGAGTACACATACATACATACGTATATGAACGAAAAATAAGGCGGAATGAAACTATCGGGTCTCCTTCACTTCATGGAGGATTTGTATTTTCGAGCATAAAGTGGTTCACAGGGGAACTGTCGATCCAGAACGCATACAATCAACCATGACAGTATCTGGAAAAAATGATACTTCTGAAGACATTTCAACTTACCTTTACCAAAGAAAATGAACGTTAAGCAGGATCGCTGGTGAGCGGGTTTTGAACAAAGTGAGCAACTTCGACACTCATCGTGACAACGGAAATGGTCAAATAGTATCATGCGAGTCCTGGTCGAACTACTCATGGCTAAGATGCGATCAGGCAAATTAAATAGCCTAAGATATATGAGGTATATAGGCTGGAAAGGCAGGCAAGAATCACAAGCGGCCTCAAGAATTTTGCCGTAGCCTTAACGATTATCGACTGCTCGTCAATGGCTATTTTGAAAAGCGAGTATCTAGCCTGCATGTCTCTTGGGAAGCATTTGGATTTGGAGACAAGAGATAGGCAGTTAAGCCAGCACTATTTGGACGCAACTATAGCCCAAGCCAAATTATTCTTCAATCATTATAGCCTCAAATTAATTTTATTCCCCAACTTTTTACTAACAGGATTCGAAGCAAATGCTAACAGTGAAATGGAGCACTTATTTGCTGAGACAGACGCGAACAAGGATGGAAAACTGAGCAAAAAAGAGATCCTGGAACAACATGATCTTTGGGTTGGCTCTCACGCAACAGATTATGGTAGACACTTGGACACCATCAAAACAGAACTCTAAACCAGCTTTTAAAATCCATAAGCTAAAAACATTTCATAATTTTCTAGGACCCAAATGCATCCCAGTTGACCCTATCTTTTTTGCACTTCCTTTTAGATTTCTTACTTACTGTCATTATTATATTTTGGTCGCCACCTGGATAAGACACCAAGCGTTTTATATAAGGATCCTAATGAATTTTTACTATACAATGCCAACATTAGGCAAATTAAATGCAGGCTCATTAAGACCATTATCGATATTATTCATAAATAGTATACCTTATTAGCACCACGATTAGTGCATGCTTGAGGCCAGACATTATTCTAGGCCAAAAGCAATTCTCAGGTTGCTTTAAACTTTAAGTTGCTCTAGACTGTGAAAGAGATCAGCAGAGAAATTCTACTCGCAGATTACCCGGTGAATTCAAATCAGAAATAAAATTACATCATGTATAAAATAAAAAATACAGAGGATAGTATAGCAGAAAGTAGAAGTGTCTATTAAAGCTGGATTAAATTTCGCCTGACTGAATGGGGATATTCCAAATAAAAGTAAGCAGTAAATCGTAATGACTCAATTCCATCCGCATAAATGTATATATACACACACACACACACACACATATAT